CTTTCCCATTATTAATTAAAAATAATAAAACAAAAATAATAGTTACCAACTCTACCTATCATCTAGAAACCAAGATATATTTAGAAGACATAGACACTTGTTAGCAAGGCAGAATAATCTGAGATTCATACATCTTGGGTTTTCAGCTCCAAATAAGTTAGAGCAGGAAGTGGAAGAAACATGTATACTAATACATCCTGTCAAAACCTTTGATTCAAAAAAACCTCAACTCTGAATTCACTGTAGAGATGGTGGCCATGCCCTTGACTTATGGATTTCACAGATCAAAACATTCTATTTTAGTGGGACATCTATAAAGTTGCCAGCTCTTTGTTTTGCTAAGTAAGGACATTAAAATAACACAATCAATTCTACAGGTTCTACCATTTCTTAAAATAAAGAACATTTAAACACCAAAAACATAGTTATAATTAATCTCATAATAATTTTTTTAAACTAGAGAATTTTAGCTATATGCAAACTTCCAGCATAGTCTTTATTTTTATCATTTTACTATAGGCCACTGAAAATATAGTCACATAATCCTTCAGGTCCAGTATTTGGAAATATCAGCCTAAATTATGTTCTTAATAATAATTTAATCAAACATAATTTTTTGCCTAATGTAATGCTCTTCTATTGCAATATGAACTATAACTTTTTCTTTATATTCAACAGAGAAAACACTTGGCTAGCACCCTTATGAGGGTAAACCTTCAGATCCTGTAAGAGTATCAGATTATCTCCTTTAACAACATCCAGACAGGAAACAGATGGCACACTTAAATTGGGAACTTGACATGAGTTTAATAGATTAAAAAAATAGCCTATTTGCAGAAGATGTAGATGGTGTAGTGTAGAAAATTTAGGTTATAACTGTAGGGTGCTTACCCCTTCCCAAGTACTAAAGTGATGAAGAGTGACACATGAAGATACAGCTATACTACAACCAACATTGTACTCAATTGGCAAAAACTGAAATCATTCCCCTTAGGATCAGAAACAAGAGGAGGGATGCCTGCTTTCACCACTCTTTCAACATAGTACTGGAAATAATATCCACAGCAATCAAGCAAGAAGAAATAAAAGAAATACAAATTGGAAAGGATAAATTAAAACTCCCATTATTCACAGATGGCATGATGATATATAGATATAGATGATATAGATATAGATATAGATATAGATATAGATATAGATATATAGATATATAGATATACAGATATACAGATATACAGATATACAGATATACAGATATACAGATATATAGATATATAGATATATAGATATATATAGATATATAGATATATATCCTAAGGAATTCACCAAAACCAACAAGATCTAATAAATGAACTCTGCAAAGTTGCAGGACACAAAATCAATATCAAGAGATTGATGGCATTTTTATACATCAATAATGATCTCTCTCTCAGGGAAATTAAGAAACAATCCCGTTTACTAGTACAACAAAGAAAGAGGAGGTATCTAGGAATAAATTTAACCAAGGTTGTAAAAAGTCTGTACTTTTATAAAAAGTATAATATACTGAAGAAAGAAACAAGTAAAAGTATAAGATACTGAAGAAAGAAACGAGGAAGATACAAATAAGTGGAAGTATGTACTGTGTTTATGGATTTAAAAAAATAACATCATTAAAATGCCCATACTATCCAAAGCAATCTATACTTTGACACAATTCTAATCAAAGTACCAATGGCATATCACAGAGAACAAGTATTCAAAAAATTTACATAGAATTACAAGAGATCTGAATAGCCTGAGCAATCTTGAGAATGAAAAACAAAGTTGAAGGTTTCAATACCTGATTAATTAAAAATAATAAAACAAAATTCTCAATATCAAAGTATACTACAAGGCCACAGTAATAAAAAAAAATAAAGCTAGAAGCACATAGATCTATGAAACACAATAGGAAGCACAGAAATAAACCCGCACCTTTCTGGACAATTAATATTTGACAAAGGAAGAAAGACCATGCAGTGGGGTAAATACAGACTCTTTAAGAAATAGTGTTGGGGAAAATTGGACAGGTACAAGCAAAAAATAAAACTAGACAACAACTTACACCATACACAAGACTAAACTAAAAATGGATAGTAGACTTAAATGTAATTTGCAAAACCATAAAAATCCTGGAAGAAAACATAGGCAGTGCAATTTAAGACATTTCACTTAGAAATATTTTTCTAAAATATCTCTTTGGGCAAGAAAAACAAAGAAACAATAAAAAATTGGAATTACTTCAAACTAAAAAGCTTTTTTCACAGCAAAATAAACCATCAACAAAATAAAGAGATCCTATTGTGTTGAAGAACATATTTACCAATGATACACGTGATAAGGCATGAATTTAAAAATATATAAAGAACTTATACAAATCAACACCAAGAAGACAAAGGGCTCAATTAAAAAATGGGCATAAGATCTGAATAGAAACTCCTGCAAAGAGGACATTCATGTAGCCAATAGACCTAAATAATTCTCAATGTCACTAATCATCAGAGAAATGTAAATTAAAACTACAATAAGGTGCCACCTCATGCCTTTCAGAATGGCTACTAATAACAATTCAACAAGAACAGGTTCAACCAACATGTGAGATTCAAGTCAGACCCAGCCTCTAGGTTAAGGAATCCTCATCCACTGACAGCTGGCACAATGACATTGGGGTTTAACCTTACTGGCTGCAAGTTGAAGAGGGAGAACCTACCCACACTTAGGACATCAACAATCAAGTCCCAATTACAACAGGAAAGCCCAAACAATGCAGACAAAAGGCATTATTAAAGCATACAGCTCAGGTAAAGAAAGAGAATAAACCACTGGACCCCTCAAGGCATTTTCTACATAAGGCATCCCACAAAAACTGGGAGGCCTAGTATGTATTAGTTTTACCTAATATATACAAGCAAATAAAAAGAGACAGCTAAAATGGGAAGACAAAGAAACAACCCCCAAATGAGAGTAAATAAGTTATCTCAAGAAAAATTACTAAATGAGATGGAGGCAAGCAACCTATCAGATATAGAGTTAAAAGAAATGGTTATCAAGATGCTTAAGAAACTTAGTGCAAATTACAACAACAAGAAAAAAGAAATAGAGACAATTAACAAGAACTAAACAGAAATAAAGAATCATATATCTGATGAGAAGAACACACTGGAAGGGTTAAAAGTAGATTGTATGAAGCAAAGGAGCAATTCAGCTATTTGAAAGACAAGGTAGAAATAAATACCCAATTAGAGCAGCAAAAAAAAAAAAAAAAAAAAATTAAAAATCAAGAACATAGGTTAAGGGAGCTCCAGGAGAATATAAAACTTAACAACATCCTGGCATTACAGGAATACCAGAAGGGAAAGAGGATGAGAAAGGAACAGAGAGCCTGTTTAAAGAAATGATGACAGAAAATGTCTGCAGCCTGGTGAAGAAAAATGTTACACAAGTTCAGGAAGCACAGAGTTCCAATCAAGATGAACACAAAGAAGCCCACACCTAGACACATCATAATTAAAATGGCAAATGTTAAAGACAAAGCAAAAATATTAATGGCATCAACAGAGAGACAGAAAATTACAAACAAAGGAGTTCCCATTAGAATGTCAACTGATTTTGCAAGGGAAATACATCAGGCTAGAAGGGGGTGGCATGAAGTAGTCAAAGTAATGAAAATAAGTATCACCATAATAAATTCAATAAAAAGTCTCTACCCCATATGTCACTGACAATCTTTCAGCACACTTATGCTACAATAAAATGGTTTTGGGAGCTATGTTAGAAAAATTTGAAGTAGAATTTCTTCTTTCTCCACACCCAGTGGCTCCTTGCACAATAATAGTGATTACATGAAAATAGTGGAAAGTAATGATTGAGAGCACAAACTCAGGAGCCAGACTGAATGGATTGGAATGTTGACTTTTGCATATACTACTTGTGTGACCTTGGACAATTAAATTCTCTTATCTGAGTTTCTTCATATGTAAAATGGATATAATGATGGTGTCTAGTTTATAGATTTATGATGTTAATCCACTTAAATTATGAACATTCTTTCCTTAGTTCTTTAATTTTTTAAAGATTAAATTTTTTTATTTTTTTTTTGAAGTTTTATTTATTTTTTAAACTTCTTTATTAATTAAGTTTTTACATATGTGTTCTTATCTCCCCATAACCTCCATCCCCCAACTCATTCCCTCACTTCCTGTTGTCTATGTCCATTGGTTAGGCCTATATGCATGCATACAAGTCCTTTGGTTGATCTCTCCCCATACCCCCGCCATCCCTTACTTTTCCTCTGAGGTTTGATGGTCTGATCAATGTTTCTCTGTCTCTGGATCTGTTTTTGTTCATCAGTTTATGTTGCTCATTATATCCAATAAATGAGTGAGATAATGTGATATTTATCTTTACCTGATTGGCTTATTTCACTTAGCATAATGCTCTACATCTCCATCCATGCTGTTGCAAATAGTAAGAACTCCTTTTTTACCACAGTGCAGTATTGCATTGGGTAGATGTACCACAAATTTTTAATCTACTCATATGCTGATGGGCACTTAGGCTGTTTCCAAATCTTAGCTATGGTAAATTGTGCTACTAGGAATAGAGGGGTGCATATATCCTTTCTGATTGGTGTTTCTAGCTTCTTGGTATATATTCTCAGAAGTGGGATCACAGGGTCAAATGGGAATTTCATTTTTAGTTTTTTTGAGGAAACTCCATACTGTTTTCCACTGTGGCTGCACCAGTCAGCATTCCCATCAGCAGTGCGTGAGGATTCCTTTTTCTCCACATCCTTACCATCACTTGTCCTTTGTTGATTCGTTGATGATGGCCATTCTGACAGGTGTGAGATGGTACAGCATTGTCATTTTGATTTGCATCTCTAGGACAATTAGTGACTTTGAGCATGTTTTCATATGCCTCTTGGCCTTCTGTCTTCTTTAGAAAAGTATCTATTTAGGTCTGTTGCCCATTTTTTGATTGGATTGTTTATCTTCCTTTTGTTAAATTGTATGAGTTCCCTAAAAACGTTGTAGATTAAACCCTTATGGATAATAATATTGGCAAATATCTTCTCCCATGCAGTGGGCTTTCTTGTTGTTTTGTTGATGGTTTCTTTTGCTGTGAAAAAAGCTTTTTATTTTGATGTATCTCGTTTTTTAAAATTAATTTCTTTATTGATTAAGGTATCACATATTTGTCCTCAACCCCCCATTCCAATCTCCCACCCCCTCACACACATGCCCCCGCCTCCCTATTGACCTTGACCACTGGTTAGGCTCATACTTGTGCACATAAGTCCTTTGGTTGATCTCTCTCTTTTATCCCCACCCTCCCTTTGAGGTCCAACAGTCTGACCCATGGCTCCTTGTCTCTGGGTCTGTTCTTGTTCATCAGTCTATGTTGTTCACCATTTTCCCTAGATGAGTGAGATCATGTCCTACTGGAAATATACTTATAAGAATAAAAAATGAGACAAGCAATAATCATTATGCTGAAAGGCATATGAATCAGACTGTAGTGAGCTTCTTTCTGGGCCACCAGTTCTTTTGAGACCCAATTTCAATGTCAAACAGTTCCTTATGTGTACGTGTCAGCAATGATATTTCAGTTCTGCATGGTGGGCAAATGGTGGTAATGCAGGTCCAACCCTCTCTGTTTTGGTTCTGGGCAACCTTCAGTGATACACAGCTGCTGACTTCTATTATGGTAAGGCGTCATCAGCGACTTCCATCTCTGGACTGCTTCTCTTCTGTCATCATGGTTGGAGTAATCCTGTCAATTCCTCTCTGTTGCTAGAATCCACATGGTCTCAGAGTTGTTTTCTGAAAATATACAAACATATTCTTTTTTAAAAAATATATTTTATTGATTTCCTACAGAGAGGAAGGGAGAGAGATAGAGAGCTAGAAACGTCGATGAGAGAGAAACATCGACCAGCTGCCTCTTGCACACCCCCTACTGGGGATGTGCCGGCAACCAAGGCACATGCCCTTGACCGGAATCGAACCTGGGACCTTTCAGTCCACAGACTGACGCTCTACCACTGAGCCAAACCGGCTTCGGCTACAAACATATTTTTGACGAAAATAAAGGAATATTTTCTATAAATTTGACTTGGGATCCTTTTTCTTTTTCTTTCTTTCTTTTTTTTTTTTCCCAAATGATTTTCCTCTGGCTTCTTTTGACGCCATGTGTGTTTTTCATGGGTGTCTTGCTGATAGCATTACAATTAATTTTCCAAAGTACAAATTTTCTAGATGTAATTTAATTTCAGGATATTTTTCCTTACATAATATTCTTCTACTTTCCCACTTTTTTATTTAAATATTAGGAGACTTTTGAATATTTTATAATATAGTCTTAATAGCTTTTAAACTTTTATTTTTTTTGCATTATAATATGACTGCTTTAGGTTCATTTCCTGTTGTGAAATTTTATCCTGAGATGAACTACCAATAAAAAATTTTAGTTAACACTTGAGGAACAGCTTTTTGTCAAGTGCAATTAGTTTTTCTAGGATATTCAAACAAGTCTTGTAGTGCGAGGGCAGCTGCTGTCAGCTAAGTCTCTGTCTTTTATGTGGGTCCCCATTTGAACTGGGCATGGGAAGTTAAGCAGCCATGGGGGCAGGAGACTCCCTCAGCAGGGTGAGGTTTCAGGCCTCTGGGGGTGAGGATCTGTGGCCCTCCTCAGTTGACCCCCAAGTTCTCTCCTGATGGCCCCTCTTTGACTGTGCCTATCTTAGGTTGTTCCTTCCCTGAGGAATTTTACCCATCACTGGCTAACCAGCCATCCTCTGTGGCCAAATAGGGTGATGTGAGGTTCAGTTCTGTCTCATTGGTATCCTATGCCCCCGTGGCCTCCATGTCCAGCTCCTGCCTTACGATTCCCACGCCTCCTGGAGGGGCCCCAGAACTGATCACATATCTTGGGGAACCCAGGTTTCTTCTCTAGGGAGGGCCCATCTCACTCCACTGGGTGAGAGACAGATCTATGGTACCAGTCATCACGAGGCTTCAACCTCGACATGAACAGAAAGCTCAGGCAGCAGCTGTGGGCATTTGGATTGTGAGAAGAGGGTCCCTCTTGGCCAAAAGAGCAAGAGGGGTCAATATAGAATGCTCAGGTGCCTTCCCAGGAGGCCCTATACACAATAGAAGGGATTAAATCCTTTCATGTCCTTTTAAAATTGCTGCCAGACATTCAAAGAATTGGTTTGTAAGTTTGCTTGGGAAAATTGTATATTATGCTTTTGTAATTTTAGAATATTAAGAGATATGGTACCTTTGTCTCCAAGGACAAAAAAAGATAATTTCTTTTATTGATCCCTCAGGGTTCAAGGTACTATTATAAGTAATTGGGGTAACCCAAATCTGGGAAAATTTTAATGACATTGTGGAATGGTATCACGTAAGGTTATTCTTTGTTCTAGGCCATGGCAATTCCATTTCATACTGGCTGTCCATTTCTTTTACTATGGGCCAGATCTTAGTTACATTTTCTGGACCTCTCCAAGGGTCTAGTAGTGATAGTAGTGACACCCTTTCTTTTGTGTCCACACAAGCCAGAAACTGCTCTATAATTTTACACACAAAGGGGCAGTGTTTTGATTTTGTGTCATGCAAAAGAGAAGCTGGGTGGAGACCCTTGTGTAATTACACTTTCTTGCCCCTCCCATGGACCTCCTGGATGACCATTTGTTTATTTTCTCTTTAGTTTCCATTGCTATAGGAGCAGTATCAGTGAAGAAATTGCTTCAGTATATATCTGAAATTTCACTGCCTGTGGATTCGTCTAGTATTTTTATGGTTTCCTGTCTCATGTTTAAGTCTTTTATTCATTTTGAGTTTATTTTTGTGTGTGGTGTAAGTTGGTTGTCTAGTTTAATCTTTCTGCATGTATCTGTGAGGTTTTCCCAGCACCATTTATTGAAAAGGTTGTCTTGACTTCACTGTATGTTCATGCCTCCTTTGTTGAATATTAATTGAGCATAATGGTTTGGTCCAATTTATGGTTTCTCTATTCTATCCCATTGATCTATATGTCTGTTCTTGTGCCAGTACCAGGCTGTTTTGAGAAAAGTAGCTTTGTAATACAGCTTGATATCTCTTATTGAGATACCACCTACTTTGTTCTTCTTTCTCAGGATTGCTTTAGCTATTTGGGCTCTTTTATTTTATTCCAGATGAATTTTTAGAAAGTTCCATCTAGGTCCGTGAAAAATGCCATTGGTATATTAATGGGGAGTATCAATACATTGAATCTATAGATTGCTTTTGGTAGTATGGACATTTTGATGATGTTGATTCTACCAATCCATGAACACAGTATTTTCTTCCATCCGTTTATGTCTTCCTCTATCTCTTTTTCGGTGTCCTATAGTTTTCCACGTATAGGTCTTTTACCTCCTTAGTTAAGATTATTCCTACATATCTTAATTTTTTTTTTTGGTATGATGATAAATGGGATTTCTTTTTTATTCTCTGTTTCTGTAACCTCATTATTGGTGTATACAAATGCCATGGATTTCCTGGCATTAATTTTCTATTCTGCTACATTTCTGAGTTCATTTATTAAGTCTAATATTTTTTTTATGAAACCTTTAGGGTTTTCTATGCAATATCATGTCATCTGCAAATAATGACAGTTTTACGTCTTCTTTTCCAATTTGGATACCTTTTATTTTTTCTTCTTCTCTAATTGCTATTGCTATCACTTCCAGTACTATGTCAAACAGCAGTGGTGAAAGTGGATATCCATGTCTTGTTTCTGTTCTTAGGTGAAATGGTTTTAGTTTTTGCCCATTGAGTATAATGTTTGTGGTAGTTTTGTTATATCAGGCTTTTATTATGTTGAGGTATGATCCCTCTTTTCTCACTTTGCTGAGCATTTTTATCAGAAAAGCATGTTGAACTTTGTCAAATGTTTTTCTGCATCAATTGATATGATTATGTGATTTTTATCTCTTAGCATTTATATGAGTCATGTTTTCTTTCTTTTTTAAATATATTTTTATTGATTTCAGAGAGAAAGGGAGAGAAAGAGAGATAGAAACATCAATGATGAGAAAGAATTATTGATTGGCTGCCTGCAACCCATGCATATGCCCTTGACCAGAATCAAACCCAGGACCCCCAAGTCTGCAGATCAATATTCCATCCACTGATCCAAACCAGCTAGGGCTGAGTCATGTTTTCTTATCCATTCAGCTATCCTTTGTCTTTTGATTAGAGCATTTAATATATTTTCATTTAAGGTTACTATCGAGAGGTACTTGTTTGTTGCCATTTTTATTCTTTATGCCTGTGTTTATTCTTCCCTTTCTATTTCTTCTTTTTACAGCATTCCCTTTAACGTTTATTGCATTCCTTTCATGTTGGTAATAAACTCCTTAGTCTTTTATTGTCTGTAAAGTTTCTGATTTGCCTTCAATTTTTAATGATAGCCTTGTTGAATAAAATATTCATGGATTCATTCCCTTGCTTTAAATCACTTTGTATACTTTATTCCAATCCCTTCTGTCTGTTGTGTTTCTGTTGAGGAATCAATTCACAGACTAATGAAAGTTCCTTTGTAGGTAACTTTCTGTCTCTCTCTGGTAACCTTTAAAATTCTTATTCTGTTCTTAATATTTGTCAGTTTAATTATAATGTGTCTTGGTGATGGTCTCTTTGGACTCATCTTGATTGGGACTCTTTGTGCTTTTAGGAATTAAGTGACTTTTTTCTTCACAAAGTCAATGAAGTTTTCTTTCATTATTTCTTCAAACATGTTGTTGATTCCTTCTCAGCTTCCTCTCCTCTGGCAATCCATTTATGAGGATGTTGTTTCATTTCATGTTGTCCTAAATCTCCCTTATACCCTCCTCCTGCTTTTTAATTCTTTTCCAGTTGCTGCTCTGCTTGAGTGTTTTTCTAACTTGTTTTATAACTTACTGATCTGGTCATCAGCTTATTCTAATCTACTGTTGAAATCATTCGTTGTGTTATTTATTGCATCTATATCATCCTTCATTTCCACTAGATTCTTACACATGTTGGCAAATTTCTCATCCAGTTTTTTTGATCATCTGTATAACCATTACTCTAAATTCTTTCTCTGAAAAATTGCTTGCCTCCATTACATTTATTTCCTTTTTTGTTGATTTTTTTCTTTTCTTTGGAATGGGGATTGTTTCTTTGTCTCCCCATTTTTACTGTTTCTTGTGATTGTTTCTATGTATTTGATCAAACTGCTATGGCTCCCTGACTTCTTGTATTTGTCTTATGTAGTATATAGCTTTTATTATGTTGATATATGATCCTTGTACTCCCACCTTGTTAAGAGTTTTTATCAGGAAAGGGTGTTGGATTTTATCAAATGCTTTTTCTGCATCAATTGATATGACTATATGATATTTATATTTCAATTTGTTTATGTGATGTATCACGTTTATTGATTTGCGGATATTGTACCATCCTTGCATTCCTGGAATAAACCCTACTTGGTCATGGTGTATGATCTTTGTGATGTTCTTCTGGAGTCGATTTGCTAGAATTTTGTTGAGGATTTTGGCATCTATGTTCATGAAGGATATTGGCCTGTAATTCTCTTTCATTGAGTTGTCTTTATCTGGTTTTGGTATTAGGGTGATGCTGGCTTCATAGAAGGAGTTTGGAAGTGTTCCTTCCTCTTGGATTTTTTGGAATAGTCTGAGGAGGATAGGTTTTAGTTCTTCCTTGAATGTTTGGTAAAACTCTCCTATGAAGCCATCTGGCCCTTGGCTTTTGTTTGCTGGAAGCTTTTTGATGACTGTTTAAGAAGTAATGCTAATTAAAAAATTAGGAGAAAAATGCAAGAGAGGAGAGAAAAATTACATTGAGTAATGAATAGGATCAGGCCTAAATGGGCAGTTGGGCATCCCCTGAAGTGTCCCAGATTGGTGAGGGTGCAGGCTGGCCTGAAAGACCCCCTTTCCCCCATGCATGAATTTTGTGCACTGGGCCTGTAGTAAATAAATAAATAAATAAATAAATAAATAAATAAATAAGTGTTTGTCTGTTTCTTTGTTTATTGAAAGGGAGAATAGAGGAGAGAGCAGATAGGGCTGAATTTAGGAAGTAATGCTAATTATTTATTTATTTATTTATTTAATATATTTTATTGATTTTTTTTGCCTCACCTCCTTCCCTCCCATACATACCCACCCTCCCCAGAGTTTTATGTCCATTGGTTGTACTTATATGCATGTACACAAGTCCTTCGGTTGATCTATTATCTCCCCCAGATCTTCCTCCCCTCCCCACTGTAATTTGACAGTCTGCCTGTTGATTTACTGTCTCTATATCTGTCTCTTGGTCCATCAATTTATAATGTTCTTTATCATCCACAAATGAGTGAGGTCATGTGGTGTTTCTCTTTCATTGATTGGCTTATTTCACTCAGCATGATGTTCTCCAATTCCATCCAGGTTGCTGCAAATGATGAAAATTCCTTCTTTTTTATGGCAGCATACTATTCCATTGTGTAGATGTACCATAGTTTTGGATCCAATCATCTGCTGACGGGCACCTAGGCTGTTTCCAAATTGTGGCTATTGTAGATTGTGCTGCTATGAACATAGGGGTGCATATATCCTTTCTCATTGATGTTTCTAGTTTCTTGGGATATATTCCTAGAAGTGGGATTAGTGGGTCAAATGGGAGTTCCATTTTCAGTTTTTTGAGGAAACTCCATACTGTTCTCCACAGTGGTTGCACCAGTCTACATTCCCACCAGCAGTGCACGAGGGTTCCTTTTTCTCCGCAACCTCGCCAACACTTGTCGTTTGTTGATTTGTTGATGTTGGCCATTCTGACAGGTGTGAGATGGTACCGCATTGTTGTTTTGATTTGCACCTCATAGACAATTAGTGACTTTGAGCATGTTTTCATGTGCCTTTTGGCCTGCCTTCTGTCTTCTTTTGAAAACATTCTATTTAGGTCCATTGCCCATTTTTTAATTGGATCATTCATCTTCCTTTTATTTAGTTGTATAAGCTGTCTGTAAATGTTGGAGATTAAACCTTTATCAGTGGTATTATTTGCAAATATGTTCTCCCACACTGTGGGCTTTCTTGTTGTTTTGTTGATGGTTTCTTTTGCTGAAAAAAAGGTTTTTATTTTGATGAAGTCCCATTTGTTTATTTTCTCTTTAGCTTCCATTGCTCTAGGGCACACATGTCAAACACAAGGCCCGCGGGCCAAATCCGGCCCGCCAGGCCTTGCAATGTGGCCCGCACCACGCTGTCATCACTGCACTCCGCTGCGTTCCATCACAATGACGCGCGGTGACATAGGAGGCTTGTGATCTCGCTGGCCGCCTCGCAGGCCGCTGTACTTGCTATCTATTACGCATGCGCATAGATAACAAGTCACGCGAGATTCAGGTGGCGTGACCTATAGTCCGGCATCTGATGTGGTTGTGCGGGTGGCAGAGCAGAGGAGAGAGTGAGTGTGAGGGCATAAAAAATACACAGCAGAAGCTGCCAGTTCCTGGCATAAAGTGCAGGCATAAAAATCGCAACAGAATCTGCTATCTGTACCCAGCCAGGCATTTATTGACTGACTTTTTTTTTCTCCACTCCATCTGCCAAATCAAGCTATCCCTGTGCAGTTTTCAACTTTTTCCTTCTAACGCAGATTTCCAATAAACTACATCTTTTACTGCCAATATTGATCCCAAAATGTCCAGGAAAAGAAAAGTTGACGGTGTCGGCAGACAATTTAATGACAAATGGAAAAATGAATACATGTTTGTGCTTAGAGAGGGCAAACCAGTGTGTATATTGTGTTATGAGACAGTGTCGGTGACGAAAGAGTACAATATACGTCGTCATTTTGACATCAAACATAATGTTAAGTATGGCAAATATACTTTGGAAGAAAAGCATAAAATTG